GGGACGCGGCCTCAGCATGGCCAGAGAAGCTGTGCGTTGGTGCGCGCCCGGGGTTCCGAACCTGGGCCGCCAGTAGCGGAGCGCACGCACTTAACCGCTAAGCCACAGGGCCGGCCCTGCAAACCTAGAATTCTTTTACCAGCCAAACTATTATTCAGGAGTGAAGGTGAAATAAAGACATTTTCATACATAATAAAAACATCTATCTCATAGGATATTGTAAAGATTAAGTACATTCATTTATGTAATGTGCTTAGACCAGTGCCTAGCATGTAAATAAGCATTCTATAAATGTTAGCAATTAGTTTGAATAAAAGAAGAATTAAAGGACATACTTCAACAAGAAGAAAAATGAACCCAAAAGGAAGAAGCAAGGTTTAAGAACATGGTGAGCAAAAAGAGAAAAATAAGTAATTAAAATTTTAAAGTGTTGAATTTCTAGAAATGATAATTTCTTTTTTTTTTTTTCTTTTTAAAGCAGGTACTAAAACCCTAGATAAGGATTGGTAAACTATGGTCCACAGGCCAGATTGGCCTATTGCCTTTTTTTACATGGCCTGCAAGCTAAGGATGGTTTTTACATTTTAAAATGGAAGGAAAAGTTCTGCTATTTTGTGATGTGAAAATTATATGAAATTAAAATTTCACTGACCTTACATAGGGTTTTATTGGAACACAGCCACTCTCATTTGTTTCAGTGACAGAATTGAAACAGACTCTATGGCCCATGAAGCCTAACATGTTTACTCGCTGGCCCTTTCCAGAGAAATCGTGCTGACTCTGCTCTAGAGCAGTGCTTTTCAAGCTTTAGCGTGAATGAGAATCACCGGGTGAGCTTGTTAAAACACTGATTCCTGGCCCCACCCCAGAGACTCTGCTTTATTAGGTCTGAGAAAGGGCCAAGTATTTGCATTTCTAATAAGCTCTCGGGTGATGGTGATGCACCTGGTTCAAGAACCACCTCATGAGTGTCGGCGTTGGGGAAGAAATAAGAGTAAAGCTTACCAAAATTCTATTTCCTTTTGGAAGGTGAGAGAGATATTAATTAGCTTTAGACTTTATTGGAAAACCATGAGTGGAAATTTCTAAGTTAAAAAATTTATGGGAAACCTCTAAAAAAAGGGAGAAATATATTATTTCAGGTTGGTAGAGAGGAAAAAGACGAAATAACAGAAAGCAGAAAAGGGGGGGGAAAGCAAAGAAAAACCATAGTAGATAGAAAATACATAGTAAAATGTCAGAAAAATGTCCAAATATTTTAATAATCAAAATACATAAAAGTGACTTTTTTTTTTTTGCCTATTAAAAGACATTCTTTTGGGGCTGGCCTGGTGACATAGTAGTTAAGTTAGCACGCTACGCTTCCGCAGCCCGGAGTTTGCAGTTTGGGATCCCGGCGCGGACCTACACACTGCTCACCAAGCCATGCTGTGGTGGCCTCCCATATACAAAGTAGAGGAAGATTGGCATAGATGTTAGCTCAGGGCCAATCTTCCTCACATACACAAAAAAGACATTCTTGGATTGGAATAATAAAAACCCAGCAAAAACAGCTTGCTGCTTAGAAAATGGCATTGAAACTTTGAAAATAGAGGGGCAGAAAAATATACCAAAAGCTAACCCAAAGAAAGCTGGTGTAACAGTGTTATTAGACCAAAGTTTATCTGAAAAACATTAAAAGGGACAATGAAGGATGTGTAATGATCATAAAAGGAGCAACCCACCAGAAGATATATCTGTCATGAACTTGTGTGTACCCTACATAGACTTAAATATATAAAGCAAAAATTGATTG